ATCGAGAAATTTCATTAAAAAATTGAAAATAATTGAAATCTGAAGACGAATTTTATTAAATTTTTTTCTTAATAATTGAATTTCTGTGAAAAATTTTATTTTTTTAAATAATTGAATTCCTGTGAAAAATTTTATTTTTTAAATAATTAAATTCCTCTGAAAAATTTTATTTTTGAAAAGAATTGAATTCTTGGGAAGAATTATTTACAAATTTCTTAATTAATTGAATTATGCTTAGAAGAATTTTATTTTTAACGAAAATAATTGAATTGTTTCGAAGATTTATACAAATATTTTTGAAAATAATTGTATTTCTAGAAAGAATGATACATTTTACGAAAATAATTGTATTCTTTGATCGATTTTATTATAATTTTTTCAAATTTATAAAGCATTTTATCAAAATTTTTAAAAATAATTGAATTCTCGAGACTAAATTTATTATTTATGAAAGTAATTGATTTTTCGCGAAGAATTTTATTCAAATTTTTTTAAATAATTGAATTCTTGATAAAAAATTTATTATTAATAAAAGAAATTGAATTTTTGCGAAGCATTAAATTTTTTTTTAAATTTTTCGAAATAATTGAATTTCTCAGAACTATTTTCTTCAATTCTCTAAATATATTTGAATTCTTTTGAGAAACTTCATTAAAAAATTAAAAATAATTGAATTGGTGTGAAGAAATTTATAAAAAAATTGGTAAGTAATTGAATTCGTATGAAATTTTTATTAAAATTTTGTTTAAATAATTAAATTCTTTTAAAAAATTTTATTACAATTAGTAGATATTGAAAATAATTGAAATGAGGAAAATTTTTGAAAATAATTGAAATTTTGCCAAGATTTTTATTAAATTTTTTGAAAATAATTGAATTTCGAAGAAGAATTTTATTATTTATAAAGATAATTGAAATTTTGACGAGAATTTTTTTTTAATTTTTGAACATAATTGAATTTATGCGAATAAGTATATGACTTTTGAAAATAATTGAATTTTCGTAATTAGTTGTTCTTAAAATTTCTATTTAAATTCATTAAAAATTGAAATTTTCTAAAATTTCAAATTGAAACCATTGAAGTTTATCTATTTATGAAAATTGTAAACGCAACTCTTTTGAAATACAATTAATTTTGAAATTTTTAAGTAAAATTATTTATTAAATAATTTATAAGTATTAATTTTATGATAGTTGTTCAAGAATTAATAGTTCAAGAATTTGAATTGTATTTGAATTGAATTAAAATTTTTGTTTTATTGTGAGAAATTAAAGTAGAAGTATTAAAAGATTATTTTCGAAAAAAATCAATTTCACCTTGTTTTATGTTAGAAAAAAAATTTATTAGATAAATTTTACAATTAGATGCACCGAAAATGACATTCCAGAGGTATTTCCAAAGTTTCCATTATTACATCTATGCATGAATCTTTATTATATATTGTGTATCCATTGTCACAATAATCTAAAAACAATGTTGAAATATTAATCATAAGTATATTTTTTACTTTAATTTTTCAGATTTAATATATATGTATAAAAATAATAAATAAACAAAAATATATTTATAAAAATTAAATTTTTCAATTTACCTTGAGCTTCTTGTAATGTTTTATAATATCTTAAATTCTGTGGAAGTTCATACTTATATATAGGTTTTGTTTCTTGTAGATTAGCACCTTTTTGTTCTTTTTCTGAAACACTAACTGAATTGACAAATGCAAAATATAAAGTACAGAATAAGAAGAAAAACTTGGAAATATTCATATTGATTTTATAAAATTTTGGATTTTTGAACATTTAGTTACAAGATAGATAATTATACTAGACAGTATGATGAAATAAAAGTAGAGTGAAGATATTTAAATAGAAATGATTAAAGGCAGGCCTATTGTAATATTCAAATTATTTATTCAAATTTTTTCTTTTAACAATGTATTGTCTTGTGCAATCTATTGAAAAGTTTTATTCAAATATTTAAAAACTTGTTCAAGGATGAAATTATAGAAGGTTAAGATAGTAGATCAAAATTGTGTTTTCTCTTATTTGTTCAGATAAATTAAACATTATGTGTTATTTACATATTTTCCCGTTCCCATTATTTTCGTAAATGATGAAATTTTTTTACAAAAATTCAATTATTTCCATAAATAATAAAATTCATAGCAGAATTTAAATTTATTTTTAATATAATTTTAATCAAATTCCTCGAAAAATTTTACACAATAATTTAATTATTTTAAATTATTTAAAATATTTTTTTTATAAATTTCTTCGTTATAATTCCATTATTTTCGTAGATAATATAACTTTTTACAAAAGAATTCAATTATTTAAAAATTTGTTGATGAAATTCTTTATAAGAATTGAATTTTAAAAAACATTCAATTATTCAATTAATTATTTATTTTTATTTTCAAAATTATAAAAAATTTCTTTAATAAATTTTAAGAAACATTTAATTATTTAATAAATTATTTAATTTTGTATTTTTTTTTTTTTATTGTTTATACTCCTGCCCTATTGGCCTTACGCACTTCGTCAAGAGTCCCCGAGAAATACTTTTTTGGATTAAGCATAACCATTCTACTTAGAAATTTTCTATATATTAACCTAATTTGCGTCTACAGCCGACTTTATTAGGAGTACTCGCATTACATCTGGACCACCCGTCAATGGGTTTTCTCGCCAGAGAAGAGGGGAACTGTAGAAACCTCTCTAATTTTAATAAAAATTTCATACGAATTCAATTACTTACCAATTTTTTTATAAATTTCTTCGCACCAATTCAATTATTTTCAATTTTTTAATGAAGTTTCTCGAAAGAATTCAAATATATTTAGAGAATTGAAGAAAATAGTTCTGAGAAATTCAATTATTTCGAAAAATTTAAATCTTCGAAACAATTCAATTATTTTCGTAAAAAATAAAATTCTTCTAAGCATAATTCAATTAATTAAGAAATTTGTAAATAATTCTTCCCAAGAATTCAATTATTTAAAAAAATAAAATTTTTCAATTCAATTATTTAAAAAAATAAAATTTTTCACAGAAATTCAATTATTAAGAAAAAAATTTAATAAAATTCGTCTTCAGATTTCAATTATTTTCAATTTTTTAATGAAATTTCTCGATGAAATTTAATTATTTTCAAAAGGTTTTTAAAAAATTCTGAGAAATTCAATTATTTAAAAAAAATTTGAATCAGTACATTCTTCACAGGAAATTAATTATTTTCGTAAATTATTTTTGTATTTAAATAATTAAATTCTCGTAGAATTTCTCTAATAAAAAGTGATTTAAAAATTAATTTAAGTTAAAATTTTAGATTATAAATAATTGAATTATTAAAAACATTATAGAGTGAATTTTTAGAAATAATTGAATTTTGAAAAGGTTTCAAATAAAAATCTTTGAAAATTTGAATTTTTCGTACTGAAAATTCTGTAGAATTAATTTTTTTAAAAGAGTTTATGTAATTAAATTAAAAAAAAAAATTATTTGAAGTTTTTGTTTTCTAATATATTATTTAATTGAAGAATTTTCGAATAAACGAAATTTCGTAAAATTGAATTGTAAACAAATGGATTAGAAAATTTTTAAAAACCATTTTAAAAGATTATTAAAAATAATTGATTTAAAGAAGAAATTGAGTTAAAAATTCTAGAAAAAAATAATTGATTCGAAATATAATTTTGATATTACAGTGACAATATTTTTATTTTAAAATAATGATTTTAATTACTTGATCATCTTTATTTTTTTATGTTTTCTAATAATATTCATAAAAGTTGTTGAATTTGAAATTTTTGAAAGCTTAATTTCTATGGAAAAATAATAATAATTCAATATTTATTTAAAAAAGGAGATATTGATGTTTTTGAATAATTTACAATTAAAGAAATTCCTAAATAAATGTAACAGAATATTTTTATTTAGTAAGATTTTTTCCATTATTTTCTAAAAATCCAAAAATGTTTAATTTCATGTTAAATTAAAATTTTGTAATTGACAAACAGAATTTATAAACATTTTTTTTTCTTTATTTTGAAAAAACTTCGAATTTTATTAAAACAATTATAATTAAGAAATAGAAATGATGCAAATTATTTTTTTATGAAAATTGAGAATTTTTTTCACAATTTTCTAATATTTCTAAAATTCTAATAAATAAAAAGGATAAAAATTTGCATAATTCTAATCAGTTCTTTTCCTTTTTTTTTGCTGCACAAAATGCAAAATATTAGAATATTCATCTTCTGCCAAAAATGTTAGACACTCTCTCTGTAAATAAAATAAAATTTTTTATTTACAATGAAGAAATTTCAAATAAGATAAAAATAATCTGATAAAATTTCTTTCCTCTTTAGTAAATAAAACGTTTAAAAACTCTGATAAATTAATTTTATTGTGACTTTTGGTAGATACAATAAAGTCTAATGTCCACCGAACGTAATAAATTTTGCACATCACAATTTTATTTGCGTTACGTTATAAAGTGTTAAACACAAATAAAAATTGTAAATATGACGCTGTGTCAATTAAAAAAAATTAAGTTTTTTCGGTTATCCCTTTTGGAACTAGTACTAGTTGCTCTGTTGGTGATTAATATTCCTTTTGTATTTGCTGAAACAGAAAAAAAATTATCAACAACAGTGGAAAGAGATGAAAAAAATGAAGCTAGTTTTTTTTACAAAGTAAAAGAAGAAGAAGAAGAAGAAGAAGAAGAAGAAGAAGAAGAAGAAGAAGAAGAAGAAGAAGAAGAAGAAGAAGAAGAAGAAGAAGAAGAAGAAGAAGAAGAAGAAGAAGAAGAAGAAGAAGAAGAAGAAGAAGAAGAAGAAGAAGAAGAAGAAGAAGAAGAAGAAGAAGAAGAAGAAGAAGAAGAAGAAGAAGAAGAAGAAGAAGAAGAAGAAGAAGAAGAAGAAGAAGAAGAAGAAGAAGAAGAAGAAGAAGAAGAAGAAGAAGAAGAAGAAGAAGAAGAAGAAGAAGAAGAAGAAGAAGAAGAAGAAGAAGAAAAATTATCAACAACAGTGGAAAGAGATGAAAAAAATGAAGCTAGTTTTTTTTACAAAGTAAAAGAAGAAGAAGAAGAAGAAGAAGAAAAATTATCAACAACTGCGGAAAGAGATGAAAAAAATGAAGCTAGTGTTTTTTACAAGATAAGAGAAGAAGAAGAAAGAAAGGAAGAAAAAATAGAAGAAGAAAAATTATCAACAACTGCGGAAAGAGATGAAAAAAATGAAGCTAGTTTTTTTTACAAAATAAGAGAAGAAGAAGAAGAAGAAAGAAAAGAGAAAAAAATAGAAGAAAAAAATGAAGAAGAAAAAGAAGAAATTAAAAATAAGATAGTTGAAAAGTTTACAATGGTGAAGAAGAAAAAACTCCGAATACTTGCAGTGTTTCATCATCCAGGAAAAAGTCATTTTCAAGTGTTTAAACCACTATTAGAAAAACTTGCATTAAGAGGTCATGAATTAACGGTCGTGTCACATTTCCCCAAGAACATGAATAATACAAATATTCCTTTCGAAAATTACAAGGATATTGATCTTTTAGGTCCCACATGGACAGAAGTGATTGACCTCTCAGAAATTGATTATTCCATCTTCAGAGCAGTGAATGACGCCATTGTGCTTCGTCATTGGGCACTGCGTCATTGTCAGAAAGCTCTAAATGTTCCCGGTGTGCAACAGTTAATTCAATCTGATTCAAAATTCGACTTAATTATTACAGAATTGTTTAATAGTGATTGCTTTCTAGGATTTGTGCACAAGTTTCAAGCTCCATTCGTAGCATTAACATCACATGAAATTGTGCCCTGGGCCAATGAACGCTTTGGAAATCCCGATAATCCCAGTTATATTCCAAATACATTGATGACTTATAAATCAAAAATGACATTTATCGAAAGAACTGTGAATACATTCTTTTTGTGGTTTTTAAAAAATTATTATCATCTATTTTGGCAGAATGATATTGATAAAATTGTTAAGGAAACTTTTGGTCATGATACACCACATCTTTTGGAAATTGCCAAAAAAACATCGGCAATGTTAATTAATTCACATTATTCACTTTTTGGTGCTAGACCGTATAATCCAAATATTATTGAAATTGGGGGAATACATATTCGGAAGGTGAAAGCACTGCCGGGGGATTTAAAGAAATTTTTGGATAATGCTTCGGAGGGCGTTATTGTATTTAGTTGGGGGTCGATGATTAAGAGCTCAACTCTTCCGGAAAAAAAGTTGAAAGCTCTGTTCAAGGTTTTCAGTGAAATTCCAAGGAAGGTTGTTTGGAAGTGGGAAGGAAACGAGCATCCAGAGTTGCCCAAGAATGTAATGATTAAGAAATGGATTCCTCAGTTTGATTTATTGAGTGAGTAATAAAAGGTCTTTAATTATAATCAGTGTGTTGATATGAAAATTTATTTTCTCAAAAAGTCCGCGATTACCTATAAAATGAGATTTTATAGGTTTAGAAAATTTAGAATGAGAATTGATCTCTTTTTCATTGTTGATACAAAAATTCTATTTTATTTTTTATTTCTTAATAATTTAATAATAATTAACAAATAATTAAGAATAGAAAAAAGTCCTTTATTTAAAAGCATAAAAATTTTATTCCGTATTTACCTGATGGTTTACAAATTTCTAAATTCAAAATCATACAAAAATTGAATAATTATTGTATTAAATTAATATTAAAATTTAAAATACTTCTCATTTGGTTTTCCAAGGCAAATAAAATTTAAAGAATTTCAATTTAAAACCTAATAATTTCTGATAATTACAACTGTAACCCCTTCAAAATTCAATTATTTTCTACAATTTTTAACTGATCTTCATATCTAAATCAATTATTTTTAATTATTTACTGAAAGTTTTACAATTCAATTATTTATACACAAAAATTAAATTTCTAATAATAAAATAAAATTGTGATTGACTGCTTTTTAAGTTAATAAGATATCACATTTTCCAAAATTATAATAAAGAAAATTTTTAAATTAATTTTCTAAAAATATTTTTAAATATGTAATTTTTGAGTGTTAATAGTTTTTTAAAATTATATATAAAATTGAAAATTAACAAAAACAAATAAAATTTTATACAATCTTTTAAAAATCAGTAAAAAATTTTTTAAATAATTAAAATTTGGAAAAATATTTTTTAAATAATTAAGTTTTTAAAAAATATAAAAAAATTTGATAATTTAACAAAATAATCAAATTTATAAAAAATTGAAATTTGGTACAATCCTTTAAAAATATTTGAAATTTGTCACTATCTTTTTAAAAATAATTGAAATTTGATTAAATCTTTTAAAAATAATTGAAATTTGATTAAATCTTTTAAAAATAATTGAATTTTTGAAATATATAAAAAAATTCGATTATCTAAAAAAAAATAATTAAATTTGCAAAAAATTGAAATTTGCTACTATCCTATAAAAATAATTGAAATTTGGTAAAAAATTTTTTTAGTAATTGAAGTTTGGTAAAATCTTTTAAATGATTAAATTTTTGAAAAATATAAAACAATTTGATTATTTAAAAAAAAATAATTAAATTTGCAAAAAATTGAAATTTGCAATCTTATAAAAATAATTGAAATTTGGTAGAATATTTTATCAGTAATTGAAATTTGGTAAAATCTTTTAAATGATTAAATTTTTGAAAAATATAAAAAAATTTGATTATTTAAAAAAAAAATAAATAAATTTTCAAAAAATTGAAATTTTCTACTTTCTTATAAAAATAATTGAAATTTGGTAAAACCTCTTAAAAATAATTGAATTTTTGAAAAATATAAAAAAATTTGATTATTTAAAACAAATATAATCATATTTGCAGAAAATTAAAATTTGCTACTATCTTTAAAAAATAATTGAAATTAGGTAAAATCTTTTAAAAATAATTGAAATTTGGTAAAATATTTTTAAAAAATAATTGAAAATTGGTAAAATATTTTTAAAAAATAATTTAAAGGTAAAATTTTTTAAAAATCGTTTTCTTGTAATGATTGTACAAAATTTCAATTATTTTTTAAAGATTACTTTTTTCAAAAAATTTCTTTAATATAATTTTTCGAAAAGCTAATTTTCATTAATTTGCATTTTTACATCTACACTTGAAGATTTATTATTAAAATTTTTGTGAATGCAATTATTTTTAAAATTTGTAATTTAAATTGTTCAAAATAGTTGATTTTCGAAAATTTGTAATAAAATATTTTGAAAAAAATCAATTATTTTCAATTAAATTTTACAAAATTTCAATTAGTATTAAAAATCTTTTTAATTGTATATTTCAAAAATTTAATTTGAGAAATTATTTAAAAATCATTTTTGAAAGTTTTGTCTATAGTTATTCTTTTCATTCCTGTAAAAATCGAGATAAGTGAAAGCAATGATCCATTATTCATAAATTTCTCTTTTATTTTACATTTCGCGTAACAATAAATATTTAAAAAATTTTAAACAAAGCAACAAAAATATTTAAACAATCAACTCCTGTTCTCAATAGAACGCTGTTTTCAAATAAAATTTCAAAATTCAATCCTAGTGGGGAAAATTTCGTTCGAGGAACGTTTCTAAAACGTTTCATGTGTGACAAATTAAAAATTTAAAAACGAAACGTTTTTAAAAACATTAAATGTTAGTTAGTACGTTATTTGTCAGACATTGAACGTTTTAGGAACGTTTCTCGAGACGTTAATGTTTTTTTCCCCACTCGGATCTTATGGATTTTATTTACTGTTATTATTTTTATTATTTATATATTTTCTATTTTTTTCTATATTTCACTACCTTTGAGGCAAAATTGTTTGAAAAGGTATCAATTTAATCAACGTCATCTGTTTGCTATCAACTTTTTTAAAATAAAAAACTTTATATAGTTACCAAAAAATTATAAAAAGTTATCAACAACATTCTCACAAGAGGGAAATTGAAATTCAAAATTGTAATTGAAAACTGAAAATTGAAATTGAAAACTGTAACTTTAATTGAATAGATTTTTTTTAATAATTAAAAGGATTGATAAAAATTCACCGTGCTATAGAAAATGAAAATTATACGTAAAATTTCAATATGAAAAAATTAAAAATATTTTCAGTGGTTTACTCTGATTGTCATAAACATATAAATATTTCCTTCCTATAGGCCTGCCTGTTTTATTGGCTCAAAATTTGCACTTTATGCCTCTGTAGAGAGTAATACATATACATATATATATGTGGAGAGTAAATTTACGTGGTTCACGTGTTCATAAATGTAAAGCATGACTGACTTGTCGCAATCACAATATTGGTTTATATTCCGCTATAGTATATGGCATTTCGTCTATTCATAAAATACACGTGCAAAGACTACATTCACATTTGCATAGATTGCTATTCATTATTTGTTTTCAGCTAATAATGTATATAGTATGTACGGATAATCCCCTGTTTATAACCATAATTTCAATTAGTTATTTATCCTCATATATTATTTGCAAGTCGTGGGAGAATTAATTTTTAAAAAGTTCCAACCTTTTTTTTTCTTCCTTCTTCTCAAGTTACCATCGCATTTATGATTTACTCAATAGTCGATAATAATAAGCTTAATATGATAATATGAATTACAAAGCGAAAGTGGGTTTTAAAAAATTTTTAAATATTTTTCTTGTCTGGATCAAACCTAAATTTAAATTAGTGACTGACTTTTTGTAAATTTGACTAAAAAATATTTATTTCTACTAATTTATTAGTAAAATTTACTAATTCAAAAGAAAAAAGTCAGTCATTAAATCTACTATTAGTAAATAATTTTTACTAATTCAAATTTAGACAGTACTGTCAAATTTTATCCATTATTAAGAAAATAAGAATTATTTACTTGGTGGAAATCTTTAGAAGGATGTTCACAATATGTTTGAATAACATTTTTTTTGTACACTTTAAATTTTTGGTGAAAAAAAGAGTAACAAAATTTTTTCTTGACTTCTAGGCGGCAATTTACTGAAAAGGTGTGACATTCAAAGAAAGAAAAATTTTATTACTAATAAATAATGATAATAATTAATAATAATCAAAAATGATCGAATCTCTACTAAATTGTCGAACGTTGAAAACATTGAAAATATAAATATTATAAATGATCAAATAAAAATGTTTTGAATTTGAAAAAAAAAATGTTCAAACAAATTTCCGGGACGATTTAGTCTCATTGGGCATTAACCGCAAAATACAGAGACGATAGCTTGTTACTGTTTTATTGCTCACATTTATATTGTATATACAACTGGGTATCGTACATTTGAAATGTTTTGTTAAACGTACATACAAGCCTCATTGGCACATATAATAGTAAAACAGAAATGTTGGTAATTAGCATCGTTTTAACGATCCGAGTTTCATTTAAATAAGTGCTTGAATACATTCATACTTTTTGTATTATAATAGTGTTTTTATAGTACGTGCGCATGTAGTACTCGAGAATATATATTAACTTCATAATACAAGATAGAAGCTTTCTCAAAAAATATAAAGCGAGCTATTTGAGATTTTATACATTTTACTGAAAGTAATTTTTTTCCTATGCACTCATCTCAACATTTTAAATAGAAAAGAAATTGTTTTCAAATAATTTTCCATGTTTTAAACAAAAATATTTAACCTTTAATACTTTTAGTTTTCAGTGAGAAAAAAGTTTTTTCTAATCCAAAAATAAGTTAGTCAATGAAAAAAATATGTTTGAATTAAATTTTATATTTGAATTAAACGTAATTTTTATTGAATCAAACTTATTATGTATTGAATCAAAATTTGAATATTTATTTCAAAAATAATTTTTGGTTTCCTATATAACAAAAGTAATAAAAAACCAATTTTTTATTTTTCTACATTAAGTAGTAAAAACAAGTTTTAGTCAGACGTCATAGCCCAGTTTTTGATTGTTTTCAAAATAAGTAGTAAAAACAACTTTTTTCAGACATCATACATTCGACTTTTTGTATTTTTCAAAAAAAGTAGTCAAAACAAGTTTTAGTCAGACAAAATTTCCTATTTTTCGAAAAAAAATAGTAAAAACCAGTTCTAGTCAAACATAATATCTTATTTATCGTATTTTTCTAAATTAAGTAGTAAAAACAAATTTTAGTCAGACGTCATATCTTATTTTTTGAATTTTTTCCAAAATAAGTAGTAAAATAAGTTTTAGTCAGACGTGATATCCCATTTTTTGATTATTTTCAAAATAAGTAGTAGAAACAACTTTTTTCAGACGTCATATATTTGATTTTTCCAAAAAAGTAGTCAAAACAAGTTTTAGTAAAACGTAGTATTCAATTTTTAGTAATTTTTATAAATCAGTAGAAAAAACTATGTTTAGTCAGACTTCATATTAAATTTTTTGTATTTTTCCAAAATAATAAGTAAAATCAAGTTTTAGTCAGACG